TTATTTTGTTCGTCTAGAAATGAGATTAATGCCAGGTGATGAATTACGTTTAAGATATGTTGGTGATTCATCAAAATTAACATGGTCAGGTGTTGGACATGTTGTTAAAGTTCCAAATAGTAAGATTAAAAAAAAAAATAAAAATCTAAAAAAATTTAAAAAAAAATTTAGATTATGGAGAAGAAATTGGTATTGAACTTAAAATAAGTCAAGGTGCACCAATTGAATATAGTACAAATTTTGCTGTTGAATTTGTTTGGAAATCAACATCATTTGATCGGTAGAATTCTTTTATTTTTTATAGAAAGAAATCTTGATTGTGTTTTTTTTTTAAATTCTAGAATGCAAGCAGCATTAAAAACATTTGCTGTTGATGAAAATAGTGTATCAGCTTATTTATATCATCGTTTATTAGGTCATGAAGTTGAAGATTTAGTTATGAAAGTAACATTACCAAAACGTTTTTCAGCACCAGGTTTACCAGAATTAAATCATTCACAAGTATATGCTGTTAAAACTGTTCTTCAACGTCCATTAAGTCTTATTCAAGGTCCACCTGGAACAGGAAAAACTGTAACATCAGCAACAATTGTTTATCATCTTATTAAACAAAATCAAGGACAAGTACTTGTTTGTGCACCAAGTAATATTGCTGTTGATCAATTAACAGAAAAAATTCATAAAACTGGTTTAAAAGTTGTTCGTTTATGTGCAAAAAGTCGTGAAGCATTAGATTCACCTGTTTCATTTTTAGCATTACATAATCAAATACGAAATCTTGAAAGGTAAGATTTTTAAATAAATTAATGTTACAAATGTTCTTCCATTGTTTTTATAATATTCATTAAGTTTTTATTATTATATTTAGTGAACCTGAATTAAAAAAATTACAACAATTAAAAGATGAAACTGGTGAATTATCATCAGCTGATGAAAAACGTTATAGAACATTAAAACGTAAATGTGAAAGTGATTTACTTCGAAATGCTGATGTTATTTGTTGTACATGTGTGGGTTCAGGTGATCCACGTTTATCACATGGTTATCAATTTCGTTCAATACTTATTGATGAATCAACACAAGCAACAGAACCTGAATGTATGGTACCTGTTGTACTTGGTGCACGACAACTTATTTTAGTTGGTGATCATTGTCAATTAGGACCTGTTGTTATGAGTAAAAAAGCAGCTAAAGCTGGACTTAGTCAATCATTATTTGAACGTCTTGTTGTACTTGGTATTCGTCCAATACGATTACAAGTACAATATCGTATGCATCCAGCTTTATCAGCATTTCCATCGAATATTTTTTATGAAGGTTTGATTTATTTTATAATTCAAAAACAAAAAAAAAAGAATTTTCACTTGAATAGATCTGATCAAGATTGAAAAGTTCTATTATGATGAAGAATTAATCCTTTATTTTCTTATTGAGATACCTTTGACTCATGCATAGAAATTATCTATTTGGAGTAATAATGCATCGAATCGAATATTGTATCAAGCCTTTAATAAATTACAAATTCGTAAAATATTAAACTTCTTTCCATCATTCCTCGGCTAAATTTTATGAGTTAGAAAACGATCTTTTTTAAAAAAGTGAAAAAAATATATATTTAATTTAGTTACACAGACTGATTATTCTGATTCTTTTAAAGGTTGATATATACTACTGCGGTCATAATCTATATATAGAGTGGGCTTTTCAAAATTTCTCGATAACACATATGAAAGTAGCATTTTCTCATGACGAATTTTGTCATTTTTTATCCATTTGTAGTGAACAACATAAAAAAAAAAACGATTTTTCTAGAATTTTTTTAATATTCGGTAGAAACTCATAAATAACACGATCTTCTCATCCCCCCTCTACTTTTCACGTTGCATCTACGAAAATTTTCCAGCTGTTATCAGAAACTTGTCTGCTAAATTTCAGTAGAGAACTTTTCTCAATCATTTTATTCCTGATAAATTTTTAGCTTCTTTCATGTTTAAAACCTATCGAGTATCTTTCTATATAATTTACGAAAATCAAATTAATTGAAAATTTTCGATATTAATTTACAAAAATTTATGTTTTTTGTATTTTTAAGGATCACTTCAAAATGGTGTTACAGCAAGTGAACGTACAATTAAAGGTTTAGATTTTCCATGGATACAATCTGATAAACCAATGTTTTTTCATTGTTCATTTGGACAAGAAGAAATTTCAAGTAGTGGTACATCATATCTTAATCGAACTGAAGCAAATATGGTTGAAAAAACTGCTACACGTTTACTTAAAGCTGGTATAAAACCTGAACAAATCGGTATAATAACACCATATGAAGGACAACGTGCTTTTATTGTTCAACATATGCAATATAGTGGTTCATTAAATGAAAAACTTTATCAAGAAATTGAAGTTGCTAGTGTTGATGCATTTCAAGGACGTGAAAAAGATTTTATTATATTATCATGTGTACGTGCTAATGAACATCAAGGTATTGGATTTTTAAATGATCCACGTCGACTTAATGTTGCATTAACACGAGCAAAGTAAAGTTTTACTTTTTTTATTTTTAATAAAAAGATAATTTGTGTTTTTCTTTTAAATTTTGTTTTAGATATGGTATTATTATAATTGGTAATCCGAAAGTTCTTTCACGTCAACAATTATGGAATCATTTATTAACATATTATAAAGAACAACATGTACTTGTTGAAGGTCCATTAAATAATCTTAAAGAAAGTGCTATACAATTTTCTAAACCAAAAAAACTTATTAATCCAACAAATCCTGGTGGTCGATTTATGTCAAATGCAATGTTTTCTGGTTTGTTTTCTCTATTATCAAAAAAAAAATGATAAAAGAAAGTTTTTCTTTTTTTTTTGCTATTTTTATTTTAAGCTAAAGAAGCAATAATTCCTGGTTCAATCTATGATCGAACAACAACAATTAATGATAAACGTCAAATGACTGGAACAATGTTTACAAATAATTTAAATTCAAATTTTCGTATACATGATCCATTAAGTTATATTGATACAGTAGGAATGAATGGTGCATCACAACAACAACTATCTAATGGACTTAATTTACCAATGCCACATCAAATGATGATGTCATCAATGCCAATACCATATATAAATGGATCTTCACCATTTAATACAATGATGAATGGTAATTTGAAAAGAATTTTTGTTTTTTTCTGATCAGATTAACAAATTTTATATTTAGGTCGATCAATGAATAATCAAACAACAAATATTAAAGATGGAAAAGGAGGTATAACAAAAATGAAAAGTTCATTAAAACCTCCACGATTTTCAAAACCGATCAATGGTACAACTCAATCACAGGTTTGTTAAATAAAAATTTTTCTTCTAACTCAATATGTGTAGTTACGGTGTAAATGCTGACACTGATTCTATTAGAATATACACTTTTGGTACTTTTATTTATAGTCATCACCGACAAATAACTAAATGAGAGCATCGATCTTTCCCCAAAAATATCATAATTTTGAATAACAAGACTAACTTCATAGAAATCAGGGATGTGCAGTGTTGGTATAAATATTGAATAGTGAGTCACCGAAACAATGATTATACTGATATGCAATGAACCGTAACTCCACTTTGAAGCTCGGACCGAATATTTTGAGTTCGGAAACTACTCAATAATAGGTTCCGTCAAGTTCGGATTTGAATATTTTCGAACATCATTAGTTTTTTTTTTTAGAAAGGCTGCTGCCTTTCAGTTTTCTGGATTATTTACTTCATTGCCTGTAGAAAGAAAAAGAAGAATTTACCAGAGCGGTTAAGTGACTGAAAAGCACTTCATGTAGCCAGTTACCTTTAAAAACATATGAGAAACTGTTAAATTGATATTCTGTTATCCAATAAAAACTTTTTGTATATTTACATTTTCTATCCGAAAGATGTCATAGTATTTTATATATAATTTATGGTTAATGAACAACACCATAAAATACGTCGGTAATAAGCATACGGAAACTACACATTTCTATTTCTAGCATAACATAAATCAAACTCATTCTTAACAATGAAAATTTGTGACGAATTTATATAGAATTTCTGTTTTAAGGATAATCCAAGTTTAACACAATTTGGTACAATAAGCCAATCATATCCAATATCACAAAGTGGTCTTATGTCTCAACATGCTTACGGTCTATCGCAACAAGATTTTTCACAATCGGTATAGAAATTTCATTTTTTTTGTTTTTATTTTTAATTTTTAATTAAAATTTTGTTTTCTTTTCGTTTATAGGATGCGTATGATGTTTATCAAACATCACAAAATGAACATCATCAATTATTATCTCAAGATTCTACATATGCTGATCCATCAGTTTTTATGAATTCTCAATCATTAACGAATCCAAATCGACATGGAACAATTAATCGAACTGATTATACATAATTATAATTTCAATTCAATTCAATTATCAATTAATGATTTACATAAAAATTTCATTAAATGTATTGATCAATGAAATTCAAAACAAAAAAAAAGCAATACAATGTTTATCCGAAGATGATAAATAATGGCAGATACTAAGTTGAAAACAAAGAGAATTTTCCTTTCTATTTATGCCAACAAGGACATTTAAATATAGATCCATCCGTTTGATCTTCTATTAAATTGTTTTTCTTTTCTTTTCCTTGAACGAAAAAAAAACACTTACGAAATAAAAATTTTCTTTAGTTCTAGATGAATTGTGTAATTTGAAAAAAATTAGTCATCTATACAACTTCAATGTTCTCCTGCTAACGAACATTGTTTATGTGAATCATATTGTATAAATAAAGTTTCATCAATTATCGATAAAATCTATTTGTCATGAAGTATTTGCTGATTATTCAAAAGATGAATATACATCTGATTATTGTATAAAAGGTGTTTTTTTTAATTTTCATCTTTCATACATATTGATAAAATGAAATTCTAATTGACAAAATATATCTTCTAGATTTTAATAGTTAATTAAACTAATGTTCGGCAAAAAACCATCTGTTGCAGGTAAATGAAAAATTTTATTTTTTCTTTGTTCTTATCTATATTAATAATTTTTTCGTTTTGTGAATTAAAGAACAAGCAAAAGCTCATGGTCGAGAATTAAGAACAACTGATCGAGAATTAGTACGTGATCGACATAAAATTGAAGCTGAAGAACAACGATTAGTAAGAGAAAATATTTTGCTATAAATATATATTTATCGGCTTTTTTGTTTTTGTTTCTTCTATTTATAGATTAATGAAATTAAAAAGAGTGCAGCGACTAATAATAAAAAAGTAAAAAAAAAAATACAATGAAAAGTCATAAGAATATTTTTCTAGGCAGTAGAAATCTTAGCTAAACAACTTGTTAAAGTTCGAAATCAAAAAGCAAAATCACTTCAAGCATCTGGTCAAATTCAAGGTTTAGCTACACAAAGTACAATGATGGCATCAAATGTTCGAATGGCTAATGCAATGGAAGTTAGTTATTTCACTTTCTGTTTTATTTTTAAATTAATGTTATTATTTAGACAACTGCGAAAACCATGACTAAAATGAATAAAGTTATGAATCCAGAACAAATGTCTAAAGTTACACAACAATTTGTTCAGGAACATACAAAATTCACTATTACAGATGATATGAGTATGCATTAAAGAACGGGAGTGCATAAAGATCAGTTTTAATCCACCTAATATTTTTCTCAGAAAGGAACCTAAAAATTATTAAGTTTTGTAGCGTATGAAAGCCGAATCGAATCATGTGTAAATGTTGTCGCAAAGTCTTGAATTAGAAGTACTCATGTCCCTCACAAACTCTACCATCATCATAAGATTTCATCGTGTTGTGAGTTAAGAAGATAGAGATCCGTCTTTTGAAATGGAGTCACAAGCTAATGAGCGCATCCATAGTGTGATGAATAGAGTGTAACATGATACTTATCGATTTTTGTTAGATTTTTTACTTTTCTAGTTAGAACAAATGACATATATGAAATCAGCGTCAACAACTGAACTAATCTAAATATGTGCCAAATTACTTGAACAACTTTTATTTTCGTCGAAAAATTCACTCTTGGTCCGCGTCTCAGAGTTCAGCCAAGAAAAAAATGAAGTCCGTCAGAATCTCATTTATATAATTGAAAACAAGTTCTACTCTTATAAAATAATAATAGAACACAAAAAAGCAGATGACTACGAATTAAAAATGGCGTTATAATTGACTTTATTTTTTGATTGAATTCTGAAGGGGACCAGGGATGAATTTTTGGCGAAAATAAAAATTGTTCAAGTAATTTGAAACACATATAGATCAACTCAATTGTTGACATTGATTCCATATATGTCATTTTTTTGACTAGAAAAGTAAAGAATCTCACAAAAATCGACAAATATCAGTCAAAAAATGGTCACTTTTAACTATCTGAACAAAACGAATTCGATTTTGAATATGTAATCATGCTTTTTCCGCCAACAAATTATAGATGTTCTTCCAGTTTGTCATGTATTTTACTAATACCGAAATTTCTTGCGATATGTTCATTTTTACTTTCTGAGATATAAGGCACTCAAAATCAACTGATGGTTGTCAATCCATCGCTTTTGACTACTCAAATTTTCTTGTCTGCTCATTCTTGGCTCAATGAAAACTCATTTTAGTACTAAAACATAGCTCAAATCATGTTCTATTCATCATACCATGAATGAACTCATTAACTTGCGACTACATCTCAGAAGAAGCATCTAACTTCCTAGCTCACAACACGAAGAAATCTTATAATGATATACACATAGTTAGATTCGTCAGAAGCACTATACAATTTGATAGTTTTTATGTTCTTTTCTGAGAAAAAAATTAGGTGGATTAAAACTGATCGTTATGCGCTTCCGTCCTTTAATATTTTATATATTAATAAAAGAATTCTTTTTTTATTAAGTTGGTGAAACACTTGAAGCAGCCTTAGGACAAGAAGGTGATTCTGACGAAGAAGATGCCATTGTTAACCAAGTTCTTGATGAAATTGGCATTTCACTTAATGAAAAAGTTTGATTAAAATTTTTTTAAGATTATTTTTAAATTAAAAAAACAACATTTCTTTTTATTTAGATGGCTAATGCACCACGTGTACCAGTAGCAACATCTAGTGCTGTAGCTAGTCGAAGACAAACAAATGAAGAAGATGCTGAAATTGAACGAATATTAGCAAATTTGAAATCATAGTTCTATTGTCATGTTATTATTTCTTAAAATCAAGATGTTTTTTTTTCCATAAAAAAATTTCTATTTTACAAATTTCTTCTTTCTTTTTAATGACATATTCCAAATGTTGCATTTTTCGTCTGGTAAACACATATACTGTATATAACGATTATTCTATTCAGCTGTTATCTTTTGTTTTAAACTAACGAGGAAAGTATCTTATTTGATTTTTCACTTTTGAACTAATAGTTTGTTCATAAGTAGGATTTGATGATTCTAAAAAAAAGATTTTAAAATTATTTGCGGTGATGCCCCATTGATCAGAGTTTACAGTCGTATTACTGAATTTTCAGGTAAAATGAATATTTTCTTCTTGAGATAGATTACAATAACGATGCCTATTCTGAAAATTCAATACTTCAAGAAGAAATAGTTTCATATGAACATATTTTCATTTGATTTCACTGTAGATGTTTTGCTCTAAGCTGAAAATTTAATAAAACGATTGTGACTTTTGACTAATGGATTGTTACCATGAACAATTCTTTTTTTTTTTAGTTGCACAGAATTCTACTTATAAATAAAATGTTAGTTTAATAGTGAAGAATCAGTTGAAATACATTCTTCGTAAGTTTCATTTAATTGTGAACTTGTACGAATTTTTCTGTTTCCTATTCAGATTTTGTTTGTTACAAAGAAAAAAAAAATATTATTTATAAACACACATACTACAAATTAAAAATAAATCTTATCTGTTTTATTTTCTTTGTTTTTATTTTAATAATTAATGAATTTTTTTCTTATTGTTCAGAATGAAGATCAGTAAGACTATTAACTAGTTTATGATAACGTTCATCTTTGGTTTTTGCATGTATTTGATTATGTTTTCGTAATTTTTCCATTGCTTTTTGTCTTTTACTAGCTTCATAAATAAGACCGAATTGTTCACGAAATTCAGGACGAAATTTAACAAAATGATCAACAAGTCCACTAAATGTTTCATGTTGTAATGATTCATGCATTAAACGATTATATTCTTCACAATCGACTGATGTTAGCATCGGTACAATAAGTGTTCCACTATTAAATGAACATGAACTTGATGATGCTGGTGGTGGTGGACGTTTATGCTGAAATGATACTGATGAAGGACGATCGGGTACAAATTTATATCTTGATCGTGCTGCTGATTCATCAAGTAATTTTTGTGAAGCACGTAAAACTTGATGTGTACGTCGATCAACTATTGTCATTGGTTCAGAACGTGGAGTTATTGTTGATGGATTATTTTTTGTTTTCATTATTAATGTATTATTTGCTATTGGTATTTCTGTTGTTATTGTTGGTGTTGTAATTGGTGGTAGAACAATATTTTCAGTAGTCAGTGGCTGAAATGGCGTATGAACTTGTGGAATATAGGTTGGATTAGATGCTAATAATAATTTTTGTCTATGACGTTCTTTACGTTTTTCATGATTTTCTTTCTCTACTCTTAAAGCTTCGCGAAAATGTTTATCATTTCGATACCATGTTTCATGTCGTTTACGTGTTAATTGTAGAAATGTTTCCATATGTCGATCAACATTTGCACGAATTTTATTTCGTTCTCGATCAATAAATGTGAATTCACGGTTGAGAAAATTTTGCTCAATTTTTTTCACATTTATTAATGCTTCAGATAAATTTGATGATGTTGACTGTGACAACATTATATTAATAATGATGAAATAGTTAAGAATTCACGTTGAGAATTGCAATCAAATGAATACAAGACAACAAGAAAATTCACTTTGATTATATATTATTTTATTTAAAAAAAAATGAAAAGGAAGCCTTTTTTTCTTTTGACGAACTCCAACTGAAAAAAAAATTTTCGCTTTTTATTATAATGTCAAAAGAAAATAATTTGAATATTCATTGATTTGTATTTAAGGTATTATTGCAAGTACGTTTTTTTCCGGTGCTGTCGTTGACGACCGCTGTGATTATAATGAAAAAGAAGAAGAAAAGAAAATTAAGATGTTGTTTGGAAATAAAGAAAGAAGCGTTTTAAGAGCATCTTCAAATTATATGATTATGATTGAAATGAATTGTTTATAGAAAAAAGAGATTTTGTTTTTTTGTTTTTTAAAATATACATAAAAAAAATTTTTAAAACAGAAAATGAAACGAAATCCTTGAACATTGATGGTTTTATTTTATAGATGAATTCATCATTATTTCGTCGAGTCATTCAGCAATATTCTTCAATACGTGCATTGAATAACATTTCAGCACGTTTTACTTCATCATCAGCTGAAAGTAAAACTCCTGCTGAATCATCATCTATTGATCCACAATTTAAAAAAAAAATTGATGATTTTATTAAATCAAATAAAGTTGCTGTATTTATTAAAGGCGAACCAGATGCTCCTAGTATGATTCATTGTTTACCCGGATTTTTTTTTATTGAATTATTTTATTTTTTTAAACTTTAGGTTGTGGTTTTTCTAAAGCTGTTCTTCAAATACTCAATTTACATGGATGTGACTTTAAATCACAAAATATTCTAGATGATCAACGACTTCGAGATACAATGAAACTTTATAGGTTAAAATAAAAGATAACGAAATTATTTCATTTAAAATCTTTCTATAATTAATTTAGTAATTGGCCAACTTTTCCTCAAATTTATTTTGATGGAGAATTTGTTGGTGGTTGCGATATTTTACTTCATATGCATCAATCAGGTGAACTTGTTAATGAATTAAAAAAAATTGGAATTCAATCTAAATTATCAGATGTGAACAATAACACTACACCATCATCAGCCAACTAATTTTTTATTGATCAATCTCCAATTTCAGCTTTTTTCCCTTCCTTTTTTTTTGTTTTCTCACATCTTAACGTGTATTTGTTTGAATTTTTACCATCTAGCACAAAAAAATAATGAAAAAAACAACAAGTATTGGTTTGTTACAAATGATCCCAAAACTTAACTGTTTTGTTTTTGATCACAGTCATACTTATTATTATACAATTCGATAAATACTCATTAATTCATATATTAAGTGGAAAGTCTCCCACAGAGAAAAATGAGTTGTTTTTTCTCTTCATCTTGTATTATTATATATATACATTTATATGTCATTGTACGGGTATAGAGTCAGGTACATTCGTATGGACATATTATATTTTATTTTGAGTGTTATTTTGTATTTAATTCAAAATGATTCATTTTGATGATATTGAGAGAACATAAACAGCAATGCAAAGAAGGAAAATATCCTATTTAAGATTGTCCTCAAAAATCGATCTTGGCCAAAGCATATTCAAATTGCATGAAATTTTTAGAATATGTTGTGACGATAGTGGAGAGATTACGACAAAATTTTCATCCTTATACTGTGATATTTTTTTTGAGATATTCAACAAACAAGGGTCAAAAATAGCTCATTTGGCAACACAAAATTCTCTGTGGGCCTTGATTCTATAGGTTTTTATTCGAAAGAGTGTGTTAGGATGTAGATCATGACAAAATCTTTCTTTTTTTAATTCTTACTTCTTAAGAGGAGAAAAGGCATGAAAATTTTAATGTCTCCAAAAATGGCGTTCTAACTATAAAAGTACTCTTTTATATAATGGTAACAAAGCTTAATTCAAAAAATGGACTCTGTCATACCCTGCATTTTGACATTCTCTTTTGAACAAAATCGAGAATTCTGAGATATATGATCAAAAGCACATAAACAGAGAAAAAGTGAAAAAGATGTTCCGCTTTATTTGCGAAAACCATGTTTGTCAAACAGAAAATAACAGAAGACGTAGCTCTGAACTAGGATGACTATTCGAACTCTGTATTCACACAGTACTAGCCTCCCTATTATGATATACAAGAATGATGCGTCCGATGAGTATGTTTCTGATATTATTTGTATGGATAACTTAGGCAATCGAGCGAAAACTTTGAATGAAATCATCATCTTGATTCAGAGCTACGGCTTTAGTGATTATTGATGACAGAATGGGTGACCATTTGTGAAACTTATCGACTATAGAAAACAATCGACTTTCCAAAACGACATCTTTAGACATAACTTCACTCCAAAACTGAAAACAATTGAATAGGACATTTTTTCTTCCTTGCATTGCTATTTGGTCTTCTCAATGTCACAAAAATAGGTTATTTTGAAATAAATACAAAATAAGATGTAAATCAAATGCTTAGGGCATATCAAAAGTAATGAGATATTGAAGAAAAAGAAACAAGTTATTCAAGACTGTATTTTATCAAATGTTCTTCGTTACAACAAGGTACAAGGATTGTGAGTTAGTTTGATCAGATCGAATAGTCAAAAATCAGATGGTGTCAGATCCGAAGAATTCAGCGGTTGTCGAATTATTTTGGTGCCTTCCGATTCGAAACATCTTTATGTACATGCAATTTGCCATTGTCATAGTGGAGTTTTTCGCATGTATACCAGATACTGATCGTTTTGCCTGAATTTTGTCGATGAAGGGTTCTAGGCAATCATCGATGTATTAGTTATGATCAATAGTTTGTACTTGTTCAACATGATAGATTCGCACGAGACCAGTTGTGTTGAAAAAAATACAAAACAGGGCTTTTGGAACAAAACGGTTGCATCGAACCATATGGTAGGCGAAGTTTCATCTACTGTTGTTCAGAAAGCATTCGCCGATGTTTGACTAGTTTGTTTATGATAAAACCATGGCTCGTCACCTGTCAACACATTGCATAATCGCCATGTTCCTTGCTCGAGTTTCATCGAATTTTCTTGACACAACCGAAGAAGTTCGGCTCGTTGGTTATCAGTTAGCAAGTTAGATAGCCAACTAGCAGTAAGTTTTTTTCAGCTTCAGATAATCAGAAATAATTTGTTCAATAGTAATGCAACTCATATCAGTTTCTACTCGTATCTTATCAATAAAGCATCGAACTTCTTCAATGTTTTTCGATGCTGTCCCGATTATAGATTGACCAAATTCTGGTTGATCTTCGATCTCTTTTGAATCTACATGAAACAATTTTGACCATCTGCTGACTGTATTGTAATGTTAAGCCTGATCGTCGAGAACAGAATGTAATTCATTAGAAATCAGTTTCGGTTGAATGTTAGGTTTAGTACTTACTTTAATGTTGAAACGAAAATTTTCCTTACTCATCTAAAAATAAGAGTGTATGGCTTCCATTGAAATTCTTCATATGATATTATCCTTTGACTTCAAGGTGATATACTACGGACATGTTGAGCACTTCTGGTGCTATGACTACATATGGTCAGAATTTTTTCTCAGCCTTTCTATACTTTGATATAATGTGCATCTCGTTACTTTTGGTATGCTCTAAATATAATATGTACTTACAAATGTAGTTGACTCTGTTATCTGTACAATGACATACAAATATATATATATAATAATACAAGAGAAACGGAACAAGCAACTTATTTTTGTTCGTGAGAGACCAGATAAGACTTTGGTTTTGAATCTATCAGGAAGTAATGATTCTTTTTCTTATCACTGTCTAGAAAATAACACGTTTTGTATTTGGATGTGGTTCAACAGGGATTTGATCAATAACACAATGAATAATATAATTGACGAGTGTTTTTCGATGTTTTTTGGCATTTTTATCCATTTGTTCTAATAAATGATGTCTTTCTATGTTAAGTTTTGCTTGAAATTGTTCGAGTTGTGTTGCTTTATGTAATTTTTTTCTATATTGAGCTTCACGTTCTTGTCGAAATACTTCGATTTCAGCTTGACTCTCTCGATTTGATTGTCGGATTAATTCATTACGCTTTAAACGTGCTGTTGCAATCATATCGGCAGCTCGACCTTCGGCAATAAATAATGCTTGAAGACCAGGTTCCATTTGAATTGTTGAATGACCATTTGAAGTATGTCGAATTCGAGAATTCGAAGAACTTGAACCAGCTGTTGATCGTATACTCGTACGACGAGAATTATCTGTTGCATATGGATGACGTGATGAAACAACAATTTGATTAACTGCTGATGAAGGAGATAATGAATGAATTGGTGGTCCTGGAGAAAGTTTTTTATGATTCAAATTAGTCGTTCGTCCTGATAAATTATTATCAGTCATTTTATTTATAAAGAATTCAAAATATTCTGTTTTTGCGCGCCTATGAATGTAGTTATGTTGAGATGAAAAGAAGAAAAAAAGATTCTTTCAATAGATGACAGCATCAGACAGTTTATTTCAAAGAAAATTTCCATTTTTACTTGAATATTTTATTTTTTTTGAATATTATTACTAGTTCATCATAAATTTAAACAACATCATTCGTATGCTTTCTAATTATTTAATATATTCACTCCATATTTTTTTGTTTCTATGGAAACATTTGATAGCAGTGCGTCAGATGACACTCGATTAAAAACAAAACGAACAAATTTCTTATCCTTGAACATATATAATCAAAAATAAATAATTCTATTAAGAAATGAATAGATCAATTGAATACACTCAAGCTATGTCTAATTTTGATTCTGTTTATAATGTTTCACCGACTCTTATTCATCAATCTACAAAGTATACTCCTATGTCTTCATTGATAACTTCTTCAATGTTTTCAAATCGATCATCATCACCATTATTTCGTCGTTGTAAATCTCCTCCTTTAAGTCGACCAATATTAAGTGGATCAGGTCCAAAATTTAATTTTGATTTATATAAAATGGATCAAACTAATGATGAATTTGATAAGGATTCGTTATCATCTTATCGTTCATTATCACCAACTTCTTCTAGAATAATTTATCATTATCCAATACATTCTTCTCGGTTATCTCCAATTTCTAAACCACAAGCACTATCAAAATTACAACAAATTAATGATGAATTATGTCAAACACTTGCTCAATCAGAATTAACCGATCGATCACCAGCACATTATCATATTCATCATTATCCATTATCTCAAAATTCACATGAAAAATATCGTTCTCGATCAATAAGTGAAGAACGCTCAGCGTCAACTGAATTAGAAGTGGTAATTTAAACCAAATAAAATATTTCCTACCGTCGATTTTGGCTTTTTTTTCCTGTTTAGTCTCCTAGAATACACAAAGCTCGAGTTACATACAAAATTCATATTCCACGACGACATCAACAATCTTCTCGTCATAGGTCAGCAGCAGATGTTTATTCCAGTGATAATCCAATGTTTATTGATTTATATCCAACACGAGATCAAGGTTTCGTAAAACAGATAAGAAAAAAGCCTGATAACCAAAGTCCATGGATTATCGATGGTTCATCAATTCGACGTAATTCTTATTCTGATACAAATACATCACAACTTTCCGAAACACCGAGAGGACCATACTATGGTGATAAACCAATTAAATCACGTCGTCGATCGGTTCGTGCTAAAGGTCTATAATGATATAGAATTGAACATAGAAAAATACATATGTATTTTTTAGAACGTCCATCATCGAGTTCACGTTATCGATCACCGTCTGTTACATCTGGTAATCGTCCTGATTCTGCTCCATTTCATGTATCAGATGAATATCAAGAATCGAATGCTTCGTTTTCTAATACTGTACCTATCCGACAACAGAATGGTTCTATTAAACAGTCAAAATTTATTGATTCTCATATTCCATCGTCAAAATCTAAATCATCACGACAAGAAACTTCTCGAAATTCAGCTGACGTTACACATAAAAGAAGACATAGCCGTACATATGATCCTCATAATGAATCGTCTTCATCTAGAACACGTAAACCTATATGGCATCCTCCATCAAAAACTATTTCTGAAAAATCACCAAAATATTTTGAACCTACTTTAAAATCAAAATATGATGTACCAACTGGAAAACATATTACTGATGGAACAGAATCAGAACCAATATCTCAACGAAAAACACTATCAGATCGAACAAAAATACGTAATGGAGATTCTAATCTTAAAAAACATATTACAAATGCTGATAGTAAAGTAAAATCAGCATGGGAACCAACAGTAGATGGTTTATCAAAATCAACTGTTAAAGAACCTAAACCATCAACAACCACAAATACTGATCAAAATTCATTACATAATGAATCAATAAAACCTACAACTAAACCGATATCAAAAAATCAAAGTATAGTTGATAAAAATGATGATAATGCTCAAGATTCATCGGAAAATGAATCAACAACATCAGAACGATCAAAAAATCAAGATTCATCTCGTCCACCACCTCGTATAGAAAAACCACCAACACCACAACAACCACGAAAACCATCAACTGAACTTCGTATGTTTGCTTTTATTTTGATCTAGATTGCGTACGTTGTTTTTTTAATTGGAGAGAAAAAAAGTCCGCTAAGTAGATTCGAGAGCGAGGGGACAAAAATGGTCGCATTATGAAAATATGCAAAAATAGAGATAGTAAGGGATCAGTCATAGAGGACGTAGACGTAAAAACCACATTTTTTGACGCCCTCTCTATCCTGAACGTCCAATTTAAACAAAAAAGAACTTACAGAAAAGCTTGTTTATTCAAATATACTGCTTCTTTTCTATTAAATAAAGATATCAAAACTAGAAAGTGAAAAAACACACATTGCATAAACAGTGAAAAAAAGATCTGACTAATTGCAAAGTTTTTGCTTTTTAAACACATTCTATTTTAATGAGCAGAAAATAATAAAAATTAAAAAAAGTGAAGTTCAATACCTATGGCACTCGAAAATCTCATATAACTGCTCCACAGAATAACTATCTGTCAATGTAGCATAATATTCAATCATTCCAACACACTCTTCATATTCTATTGATTAATTTTGTCTATTTTCTATTTAAAAATGTTCTTCAAAATAAACTAACGAGAAAACCTCTTCAGGTGGCACATTGCTTTTCGATCGAGACGATGTTCATTTGATGAGTACTAGTCAATAATAGAAAGGTCTAGAATGGTTCGGTTTTTCGAGCTTTCCTTCTTGAGATATCGAAATGCTATGGTCCTTCTCAACTCGCGGGGAAAATTGACTTTCGAGTTTCGGCTTCAAATTTTGCACGAACAAAACTTAAAAGCCGAGTTCCCCGTAATCTGACGGAGATCATAACATTTTGTTTAAAAAGAAACAGTAAAATCTCGATATCTCGAGAACGAAGGACCGAAAAATCCCAATTTATTCTAGATTTTTCTATTGCTCTAGCACTCATCAAATGAACATAGTCTCCGTCGAAAAGTGGTTTGACACCTGAAAAGATTCCCTCGTAAGCTTCACAATGTCGCGCAAAGTTGTGTGAAAAGGAAAATATAGTCAGCGTCTAGAAATACTTAACTCCTCGTTCCTCTGTCTAGAATTGTCTAGTTTTGATGGACTTTTCCCTCCTCCTTTGTCTGAACATTCTATATGAATGATTCTTAAGAGGATCAGTGTGGGTGTCTTCGCTTCGGCCATACACATCTCTGATGATGCTTTGTACATATTTTTGCCTTACTTGTCCAAAAAAGTGTTCGCAATCTAGATGTAGTTCTTAATATTAATAATGTATTTATTTTCTAGCAAAAACAACAAACGGTGCATTAAAACGTAGAGATGATGCAAATAATATTCATGATGAAAATCAAAGTAAATTTTTTTTTTTTTTTTTTTTTTTGATAATCTAACATTAAAATAAATTATTATTTTATTTAGCACCTTTACCCACAGCCGATGTTAATAACAATAAAAAAACTGATAATGATAATGGAGAAAAATCAGATGCTCAAAATGAACAGCCAACATCACCACCACGTTCTTCACATAAAATTCCAACATCTGAACACAAAAGTAATATCAATCATTTTTATTGAATATAAATATTCTTCATAAATTTTTCTTTCTAGCACCATCACCAAAACCAACGAATAAAAATGACAAATTAACAAGTGATGATGATAGAGATGAAAATGATGATGAAGTTGCGAATAGTTTTGACGTTAATAAATGGCTTGATGATGCATCGAAAGCTATCTTAGGTCCTTCACGAAAAGATGATACTGTTATTCCTTCTCAACCACTTCCAAAACCTAAAGTTAAAAGTCCACCTCGTCGAAAAGAACCATCACCATCACGATCTCCAGAAGTTTCAGATGAAGATTTATATAATCCTCCATTTGGTCCAAAGAGAAAAAATCAACAACCATCTATTCCTCTTCCACCACCACCACAACCGCCACCACCACCAACAACAACAACAACAACGGGTGAAACTAATGAGGTTGATGATTTTTTTAATTAATATTTCTAAGCATCTGACAAGAGAATTCTTTTTTATTTTTTAACTAAATGTGTGCAAAATGTATGCCAGACAAAAATTGGCTACAAATGTCTTTTTTTCTCGAGTTTAATATGACAAAAGAAAAAAAATAATAATAATAATAACAACAATAAACTGAATCAATCTCTTGTGTTTGTTTTTTCTTCTTTTTTATGTATTCCTAATGAACAAAATACATTGATGATTTATTTATTTGAAAAGCATCAAGTAATTGTTGAGCTTCTGTATCATAATGAAATTTTGTTAGAAGACCACTTAATTGTGTTGGATGCATTGTATCATTTATTTGAATTGTCGATGATGAACGATTTGTTCGTAATGTATATATAGCAGATATAATTGCTAATTTTTGTCGACATTCATCAATACCAATAAGTCGAACTGAATTATCATCATTATGTAAAGGTGATAATGACTATTTTAAAAATAAATAAAAGATTTTAAAAAATTATTAAAAAAGAAAAAGAAAAATCTTATACATTATATTCATAATTAATTGGATAAATAAATAATCGATCTGTTGAATCAGTTGTTTGTTCCATTGATGATAAAGCATCAAAAGCTAATTGAAATACATTTTTCTGTTCTATTATATCATTTATTGAACAACCATAATGATACATTATTTGAGCCACTATGAATAAAAGCAAAGAAAAGAAAAGAACAAATAAGAAAAAGTATAAATACGAATATTTTTCATCATCAAAAATTATTATTCATAGCAAAAGTAAAATCACTTAAAAGAGAATAACTAGTAGGAAAATAGAGAGTGAAGTTGGAGCCGATCGACTAGTCATTACTCATTTTTGTAAAAACCGCTTAATTTGCGAAAAAAAATACTTTTATGAGTAATTTTTTTAAGAAGAAAACAGACCAATCAGTGACCACTCTGACAAATGTTAAGCGGAAATTATGGTAATAATACTTTCTGCCTATTCTTTCTGGACGGTCTTGATCTTTTCGTTTTATAGTCCCTCGGATTCGAAATTAATACATACTCTTCAATGGTAATTTCATCATTTTATATATTTCATAAAGTGCATATACATGTGATGTTTGAATAGGTTGAGTTTCAACACATATCCGTTCAAGATAAGCTAATAATTCAAAATCTATATAACCTAATTTATCATGTTGATATTGAATAAGTGTTTGAAGACGATATAATGATTGATCATTTGATAGAGAGCATATAGCTAATGCATATTCAAATGTAAATTGTTTTTGACTAAAAAAGTCTTTTTTATTTGAAAATAAATTAAAATTAAATAAAAAAAATTAACCTTAAATAATCATTTGTATTTTGTATACACCAAAAAGCATCATCGAAATTTTTTAAATCAATACTTGTTTTAAATAATTCTTTAATAATTAAAGCCTATGAAAGAAGAAAAAAACAAAATAACAAAAATCATAAACTGAGATATGGATTGATGATAGAAACATACACGAATATCATTTGAATGTGTAGTTTGTAAACATTGATGAAGAAATGAAGCAACATATTGATTTTGACCAAAATATTTTAAATATTCTCGAATCTACAAAATAAAACAAAAAATATCTTTACTATGATTTGAACAATAATAATAATAGACATGTTCATAGTTCAACTTCAGAAGTGAACAGATAAAAAACACTACTTTGAAATATCTTGATAAAAACATGTTCATTTTTGTTGAAACTTTCAGGACTATCAAATCTGCTTATGGATGAAATTTCAAATCACAACTCTTGATTTTGAATTTTTTCAGACAGACTTTATTCTCAATAAAAATTTAATAAAACAGTCATAACTCTTCATCAGTAGATCATAGGCCTGAATACTTTTAAAGGATCTACGACAATTGGTGGTAATGGTGAAAAATAAAATCGAAGAAAAAATTCTCAGCATTATAAAGACATAACTCAGAGCTAGCCAGAAAATAACTAACAATCTATTCAAGGACAAGAAAATATTTGATATGAGTATAAACATGAATGATTAGTAAACTCTTCTAATTGAATATGAAATCTTACACAACAATAAGTAGTAATTGCTTTAAAAATCTCTCATAATCCTCTATATTTGTTTCTTCTTTTGGCTGTGTGTGATTGAACCATATGCCTGAAAATTGAAGTTTATGAAATGTGAATTAGAAACTATTCTTTTGTTATACATGCAACTAATTATCACTTTCAAACTTTTCTTAGTCGCATCGAGACCTACTCATAGTCATAATATAAAACCAAACCACGTCCGACAGTTGTATATATATTTCGTTATAAGTTTCAAGTGTGTCAATAAGCTCTTGACTTATGAATAAAAACTTCAAGTCTTTATTATTAAGGAAAAATAATTAGGTAATTCAGTCAAAAATATCTTAGAGAAAAATTTAAATTCTTCTTCAGATATGTATTGTCTTTCTATTCAATCTGGCCTATCTCTTAAAAAATTCTCTATTAAACATACCCATTCAATATAAAAAAGTTCTGGTATTGATTGTTTTCCAAACATTTCAATCAATAATGGATCAGTATGAAGGTCTTTTAATACTGCAGCTAAATGTCTTGTAGCTGTTTCAATATTTGTACCTGATCGATAAAATGTTAATGCATGAAAAAATTGTCTAAACAAAAAAAAAATTCTAAAATAATAAAATTAAATCAAAATTTAACCTAGCAGAATTTAATTCTTTAAACCAATTAAGTTTTCCACAATATTGATCTAATATTGTCCATTGATGTCGACTCGGTAAATATTTTATTAAAAAATCATTACTTGGCCATCTAAATGAAAAACAAAAAGAAATTTCAAAATTTTATATTTTAAAATTTAAATCATACAAAAGAGAAAATAGATTATCAACAGATTTATCAATTATTTCCAACCAATTCTCTGCATTTGGTGCAATTTGTTCTTGTTGAATATTATCTGCTAGAATTTGTTCAAGTAATGATTGATTTCCTATTTAATTAAAGAGATTTAGATTATTGAAAAACAAAACATGATATGATTTATTTATTTTTACCTATTCGAGTTTTATATGGTTGTTGATAAACAAGATTTTCAATAAAGAGATCACTTAAATAAATAGAATAAAAAATTCTTTTCTTCTTTTTTTTTGTTAAGTTTAATAATTCTTACCGATCATTAACTGCAATTGTTGATGATTCAATTCCACATGATGAAAGCCATAGAAGTATTTGATAAATTTGTGATAAATCTTGTAAATAAGGTAAAACTTTCTCTTGAATTTTTTCTAATCGATGAGCACTAATTCGAGTCTAAATATGTTGTATAAATGCTTAGAAAATACGACAAATAGTGACGGAAGTGTTTCAATTTCTTGTAGAAAAATTTAAAGAAACTTTTTCTTTATATAGTCTAGTAGTAAAAACAATGCTCTACATTTCTCTGATATTTTATCATTCTTCAACTAAGATCATAATAATAAAATTTTGATAAAAATCGTTTTTTTATGATATGTGACAGAGACCAAGCTAAAACACGATTCGATTTGGTCTCTGGTATGGAACGATAAAATTAGACCATATTGTTTTCACTGTATATTCTCCTCTTATTTTTTGGTCTCCTGTAATTAGGAAGCTGTGAGATTCCACATTTTTGCAGACCCGAATCTGCAACTCTCTACCACGAATGTGCAGCCGTCTGTATATATTAGGATTTACAAAAAGTGACGTCAGTAGAACAAAAATGAAATACAGAAATAAGTTTACCAAGTTTTTATTTAATGATTTCTCTGGATTAGGCACCATGTAATTTTTTGGCTATTCAACTTAATTAAACAAAATCTAAGCAATCAAAAAGAGTACAAAAATAAATGTTCGATAAATGAATTCTATTGAGTATGTGATTAACCAAGATGATTACTTCGAACATTTCATGAAAACTTGATCGATTTATTTTCTGTCTTACTTTTTTGTTCTACCGTTATCACATTTTATATATTCTAATACTAAGCATTAGAAGAGACGAGATATACATTAAAGACAAAATGTGATCTAATATTAGTGTCCGAGATCATAACAAATAGCTTTTATAGAAATTTTATAATTATAATATTTTTTAAGTTTTCTATAAGGAATTAAAACGTCTTCACTACAACTTTTTGAATGCCTTAAGTAATTTAATAAATAAATAAAAATTCTTTACTTGATTTGAACGAAATATTAAAGGAATTAATTTATTTAAACGTTCAATTTGATTAAGTTTTTCATGACATAATTGAACAAATACAAGAACAAGTAAACGACGAGCAATTTTTGATGTAAATATATTATTATTATTTATTTCATCCGAATTTATTTTTGATGGATGTTTATCATAAATTGATTGAAGCGTTTCAATTAATTGATCATTATTTACAATTGGTTCAAGATATTTTTGAATAAGATTTAATTTTCTATTTAAAAATACAAAAAAAAAATATTTTAAGTTTTTTTTCTTTTTTTTATTATTAATTATAAATTTTACTGTGTAATTATTTGTTTATCATTTGATGATGTTTCATTCAATAAAATATCATCAATTTGTGCAATTGTTTCATCATCAGACACTTTCATTAAAGTTTCAATATCGTTTATATGACCTGTAAAAGTAAAAACATTTTTGTTTTTTGTTCATAATTTTATTTGACATACGAGAATATTTTGGATTCGATGGTAATGAAGATTTCGACATTGAATAAAATGATACAGCAGACTGAAAAATTAATAATAAAATAAATATTTTTAAAAACAAAAGTTTTGTTTATTTAAATACTTTATGAATAAGAATAATTAATTGTCGTTCATCAAATATACGACAACCGAGTAGAACAAGTGCATGAGCACGAAGATCAATTAATGTACTATAAAGATTTTGCCAAAATTTAGTTAAAACTTGTAAACGATCTTCATTACGAATAGAATGCTCTTCACAATGATCATTACACTAAAAATAGAGAAAATTTTATTCAATCATTTTTACATGTAAACGAACAGAATTCAACTAATACCGATAATTAAAAAAGATGTATGGGAAAATCAAAATATGAATTTTATTTATTTTCAAAAATATTTCATCTAACAATTCCTTCTTAAAAAAAAGAATAAAATGAATGCACTGATCTAACAAGGGAATATTTTCAGGTGTTAATATGCGTTTGAATCCAGATTAAACGCATTCTGTAGACCTTATTGAACTATGACTACCATAAAGAGGTTTCAGTGAATCTTCTCTGTCAGATCTCATATCTGCAGCAAAAACCAGATTTTTGAATATCTACCTGAAACTTTGTTCACATAGAAATCTTCGTTAGACTAGTTTATATTAAAAAAGCACGGTGAAAGTTCCTATCTCCGAGAGGATTGGCTGGAAAATTCTGAAATTTTCGCATACAAACTAAAGTCCGTATTATAATTAAAGAGGGATGGGTGTAACCATAATAACTCGACAATAGCAACAGTTAGCAACCCGAGGATTTTAGGCAATAGAAAGAAGCGAACATCTGGCGTCTTTTTGTCTGATAGTATACAAGACAAGGTCTTCTTAAAACATTCAAAATAATTCATGAAAATAGTGTTTCACTTCGATGCAATTCTGATTTTGACATGTACTTGAGATCTATAGTTCAAAGCATGATTTCATGTGCTCATCTTCTCATATCTTAATGTTGAGCAAACGAAATGATGTATCTATTCGGTCAAATTATATAGAATTCTTTTGATCTTTTTTAGTAAATTTCCTGACTTTTTATAAAAGTTTCCTTGAAACGAAACACTGGTCTCATGTAGTTTTTTGAATATTTTGAGAAGATGATGACTTTTAAAATAATCTTGTCTTAATTGGTATCAGACAAAAAGACGTCCGAAGTTCTCCTATTTGAATTTCTGAAAACCATAGGTCGCTGACTGTTGCTGTTGCCAAGTTATTGGATTTACATACATTCATCTCAAATTTTGGCGCGAATATTAGTCTAATTGAAGGCTTCATGTGAGCAAAGTTACAAGTCGAAATTCGAATACATGATCTTGCTGCAATTGTGAGATCTTACAGAGAAAATTTATTAAAAACGTTTGATCTCTCTAGAAACATGCCATCAGGATGAACTCTTTTTATGTTACAAATAGTCCATTAAAGTCTACAAGATGCACTAAGCCTCAATTCTAAAATGTCAAGTTGAAAACAATAATCAATTTTGTTATCAAATTAAAATTTATCATTCGAAGTGTGATAGTATCAATCATTGACACTGATGTTTATGTACTACGATTCTGTTACATCTTAATTCTAGACACTTGCTTTTGTCAATTAAAAGAAAATATCTGCATTGTAAAATCAATCGAAGGTTTATTGTATGAAGAAAAAAAACACAGAAAAATCACTAATGAAAGATAATTTAGCATTCAAGCATTTTTAAATTTATAGTCAAGGTTATCCTTATCAGTTGTACGAATAAATTAACATATTGATAACAAAGAAAGTGCAACCTTATATTTGATAACGACCAAATTTCAAGTACTTTGTTTAAATCAAACTGTTATCTTTTATCACTGTTAGAACTTTTCAAGGATGTGTTGAACATTTTTGACTTTGTTCGTCCTCAAATTGAACTATTGTTGGTTCTTCTAACTCCTATGTATACATCCATTTTCATCCGTGTTATTTTAAATATTTCCGTTCAGAATATATTTGTGAATGAGAGAAAATGGATTGAATAATATGTGACGTGCAAGACTAAATTAACTCGAAACAGATTATATGTTCATTTAATTGAGCTACTTACACTAATCAGCTTACATTTTTTTTTAATCTAGCTTTGCTTTTTTCTATAATGTCGATATGTCCTAATTTGCAGTAAAATTTGTCGTCTGCGAACATTTCTTTTTCCTCCAATTAAATACAAATGAAGGTCATCAAAAGGATACATACAACTCATAGGCAGCAACATTCTATCTTATTGATTATAAGTCAATCCAAAAACTTTGGACCTGATGGGCTCTACATGACACATTTCTCAGACGACTCGTCTGAGAAGTGTGTAGGGTATACAGCTCATCAAATACAAAAAAACGGAAAAAAGTATCTCATATCTTTGGAACGGCTATCTTAGATCGATTAGAAAATATCAAAATACGGTTCGACCGAATCCCGGGTCCAAAATTTTCGGACTCGACTGACTCTAGTCAACTCTGATCCATTATTTTGATCGAAAGAAAAAAGTGTAATTATTATCAACTTAAGAATAATATCAGTATATACTAGTAAATCAGCAGCATTCAAACACCAACTGATCTAACTCAAACAATGAAATAGTCATGAATAAATTTAGTTATTTGTTGTTTGTTTTTTTAACATTGATTTCCAATATTTTATCAAAATAAAATGAATTTTTACCAAACTTTGAAGAATAATTGGTAATTGTTGAAGAATTTGTGTTAATGATATCCATGATTGATTTAATTCATCTAAATTAAGATTAAATGTAATCCAAAATGCTTCTTTAATCATATCAAGTGTAAATTGTCCTGGTGAATTAAGTCTTCGTTCAATATCGTCAATTGTTGTTGATTCATCATTAATATATTTTTCATTATAATCCATTGGTAATTCAATAAATTGTTCACGATTATTTGTTTTTAATTCATATTGTATTAATAAAAGTATTGAACGATTTTGATTTGTTAATAAATGTAATATAAGTCTATCATTTGTACATGTTATTGATGTTAATGATGAACCATTTGGTAAATGTGAATAATTATTTGATTGTATATTTTTTGTATAAGATTTATTTTGATATAGAGAATATTTAAAATTATTTGTTTCATCATATTGAAATTCATATATAAGAATATGAAGAAGATCATTTGAATCAATAATTACAAATAAACGTGTTATAAGTTCATCAGAATATGTTTCATATTGACAATAATCTATAAACATTTTTGTTGGAACTTTTGATGATGAACGAGGTAGATCAACTGATAAATTATATTCATATAAAATTGTATCTAACTAAAAAGAAACAAAATAATAAATGAAATTATTATATTTCAAGATTTATTATTGAATTCAATATATTAATCTCGAACTTCGAGCATGTGTCGTTTACCATGCTAGATAAAATATGTACTATTCTAATTCATATTATGAAATTCAGGACTATACTAACGACACCATCTAAAATTAGCATCATGCAACTATGAAAATAATTAGATAGAATTGAAATAATAGACTGTTTCTCATCCATTGGACCGATTCGATCGAAAAAAATTCGATCAATTCCAAATATTCACGAGGGGACATTCTCAACTGTCTAATCGCTTTTTGCTTGAGAAGACTATTATCATGATGAGTAATAACCAAGATTGTTTTAGTTTTATTTCCCAGTCATCGCTTGTCACGTTATGGATGTTTTACTCGACTTTTGTCTTATGAGCATAGGATCCCTGAGAATCTAAATGATCGAATTTCGAACTGAAATTTTCTTCATATACAGATACTAGAAATATCTAAAAGGTTGAGCCGGAACGAACGTATTCCTGCTAAGTGATTTATATTTAAAAGAAACATCTATTTTGGCCTGTGTTTTTTCAAAATAAGTACTTTTCTAAGACAAGCTGATGTCTCGATATGAATACGTTTATCTTAGAGATTCTCAGCGATCTGATATTCATAGATCAAAAATTGAATAAAATGTTCATAACTCGACAAGTGAAGATCGCAAAACCAAATCAAAAGAGAGCTTTTTACTACTCGTTATGACTAATCTGATCGTCATAGTCGTTTCAAGCAAAAGTGGTTAGATAGTTCGGAACGTCCTCTGATGAGTGAAGAGTCTTTTACTCAAAATTCCACAAATTTCTTGGAGTGTTCACTTTCTAATCTCGATAGTTAGTGATTTATCATATCTTTTGTAATATAGAATATAATTTGTAAAACTCATTCGTGTTCTAATCAATCTCGAAAATGTATGAAACGCTAAGTGTCATAATAATAAGAAGCTTTATTCAAAATAACCATACAATTTGTCAAAAGATAAATTCATTTTTAAATGCATATTGATGACTATTATGATATTAGACCTAACGATTGAACTAAATATCTTTTGTCAATTTACTCTTCTCAAACTATCTTGATCGAATATAGTATTGACAAGAAAAAAAAAGATTAGAAGAATTTGAATTTTCTAATAAATAGAACTTCTTACTTGATCAGACAAAAATCGAAGTAGACCATTATCATAGAGTATGATTGTCATTGTCATGGAACTATAAATAATTGTTGTTTGACCGGCAATCAATGGTTGATTTTGTTGAGTAGATGATATCGATTTACTTGAATAAAAAAAAAAGTCAAATAGTTATTTAACATTTATTTTGTTTATTAAGTCCTTCCTTAATAACCGATCTTGGGTAATGTGCATTCATATTGCATGAAATTTTCAACTCTATACCATGACGTTATCGGAAGATACTTAACAAATAAGAGTCACAAATAGCTCATTTGCTAAAAGCTTAATTCAAAAAATGGATACTACAGCTTCACGTACTCATTCAAACAAGAAAAAAGCAATTGGCTACAATAAACCTTGTTCGAGAGTTCTAGAATGTACGCTTAGAAAAGCATTAATAGAGAAAAAAAATTCTTGTTTTTTTCTGCAAACCATATCGTTTTCAAGTAGAAAATGACGAAAATTTTGGCAAAAAAATCGAGGCATCAAATAAAAAGTCATGTTATTTATGAATTTGTTTTTTTTTGAGGGTGAAAAGCTTAATAACTTACTTTGGATTCCAAAGAAAATTAAATAAACCTGTTGATTGTCGTTTTGGAAAAGTTAATTGTTGTGGTGAATCTTTATATTAATTTAAGAAAAAAAAATAAAATAAAAAATTTTTTTTTGTTTTAATTTATTTATAAATAACTTACTTAAATAATTTTGATTATCAAAACGAAGAATAATGGTTTCCATTTCATTAAATAGAGCATAAATAAGATGATTATTTGTATAAGCACAAGTTACTTGTGTATATAATTGTAAATCATGTCGATAAAAATGATTTCGATTAATTAAATAATCATCTGTTATATCTGCAAGTATTGATTGAGGTTGTTCCTTTCAAAATAAAAAAACAAAAATTAAATTTTTCTTTTCTGTTAAGAAAATTTTTTATAATTTTAGAGATCGTAGCGGTCTATGTGTTGAAATCAGGATATGGTAAAAATCTATTTTATTATTTCTGTACGAGACACACTCTGCATATAAGTGGATAGAGTAGTGATAAATACATGACACTTACTTCCCGAACAGTTACACCATACTTACTCCTCAATGTCAGTTCTTCAACATTCATTAACCATAATACAACATACACATATATATTAAACTTAACTGTAGACATTACCTTCAATCTTATGCTCTTCGTCAATATCCTCCCAGCGTTTACATAGGTTCAATAGTGATATATTTTGTTCAACAAATATTGTCTCTTTTATTTGTAAAAGTTAAAGATAGTTTTAGTAAACTATTGAATTCAACTTACAAAATTGTCATATAACCAATGGGGAACAATGTGAGGCTTGAAGAGTTCTAATTACGATATTTCACTAGTGCTTTGTCCAGGGGTGGCGCGAGTCAGTCAACATTGGGGGGGTGTCGCACCCCCGACACCCCCCTGGTCGCGCCATCCCTGGCTTTGTCGTACTTCAGAGTGATGAAGTCTCGCTTTTCCTTCTTTGAATATTACACATGCATAAATCTTTTCAAGAAGTTTCTCATGATTACAACTTAGTTCGTAGCATTTGGTTTTATTAATGAAAACGTACTTCTTATCATGAATTAATAAATGCTTAGAAATAAAAGTGGAAAATTAAAATAAAAACTGAAAGTTATGTTTAGTTTTAAAAATGAAAGAGGCAACATTCATTGAACAATACAAATAATATTTATAGAAGATTCCACGACAATTGAAAAAATTTAGTTCACAACGATGACAACACTAGACGTCAACGAAAATTAGTGATATTTGACATAGTCAACTTTCAACAAAGTTTCATTACACATCCTCTATGAGATAATAAGAACAAAAAAATAAACAACATATACCGGTAATGACAAGTCTATTGGCAGACCGGCCGGTAACTAGTATCGGTTCCATCTCTGATATTTTTACAACTATTTTAATAAAAACCTTGAACATAGATTAAACATAATACAAAACGCGTCATAATTGTGTAGACATTGTCCCATAAGGATAGATCGCAAAAATATATCAAAAAAGTAGTATCACTGCAAGATCTATTATCTAAAATTCCTTACTAATTGTCCAATATTGGATATATTTGGATGTTTTAAAATCCAACGATAAATACCAATATGTGTTGCAAACATAAGACAAATTTCTTGTCGATCAGGTAATTCAACAATAAAAACATTTGGTAAAACAGTTGTTGGCATGCCGAATTGAATTTGAAGAGAATTATGTAAAAGATTACGTGCCATTGAATATTCAAATAATTGAAAAGAATTATTGTCTATTGTACGCCTAAATAAATCGATAATTGAAATTTGTCTTTTTAAAATTAATAATACCAAAATAAAATTCGATCAAACGAACGATCTGCTGGCATCCAAGCACCACCATGTGGTTGAATATTAGTTATTTCTCGTGTATCTAAAATTGATTTTAATATTAAAAAAATATTCGGAAAACTTCTTTTTTTTTTTGAATACCTGATTGTTTGTTGCCAATAGTTCGCCAAGTAATAAGATCATCAAGAAGAGTCGCTACATGATTTGTAACAGGAATATTTAATGAATCTGTAGTCATCATTTTCAGATTTTTTTATGATGTTGTGGGTAAAAAAATTTCTCTTTTTCGTTAAGTTTTATTATCGAGTAAAAATTATAGCCAATCATAATTGAGATACTTGCCTCTTTGACAAAACATTATATTTGAAAAAAATCTGTCGAATTAGTGCATTTTTTTTTAAATAAAATTTATTTTCATTTATTTTTAAATATAAGTAAAAGAAAAATTTTTTAAACATAGCAAAAAAAAAGGGGGCGAAGAACATTCTGGTAAATAAACAAATACACGTACAACTTATGGATGGATAAATCAAATCAGATATATACATGAGTCAAGAAAATTGTCTTCTCTTTCTTACATCATCATTTATATTCTTTTTTTGTACTTATATTATTTCATTTTTTCCTCATATGATCCGTACAGAAAGACGTATATATAAATAATCAGTATTTTGTTATTAATTTTACAGATTTTTCGTTATATTTTAAATTAATTTATATAAAATAAAAATGCCTCGTCGATCTGGCGGTGGAATGCGTTCATCATCTCCTTCTCGGTATGTTTGTATTTATTTTAATTATTTGTATTATGTATTTAAATTTATTCTTTTTTTTTTAGAGCTCCTCCTCCTCCTCCACCTCGTGCTGTTGCACATCCACCTCCAGCTGCACCAGCTCCAGTAATGGCTCCACAAGGTCGTCAACCTGGTTTATTTGGACAAATGGCTGCTACAGCTGGTGGTGTTGCTATTGGTTCAGCAGTTGGACATACAATTGGTGCTGCAATGACTGGTAAACAAAATTTCTCAAAAAAAAAAGGAAAAATTTTACTGTTATTCTTTTTTTTTTATTTATTTATTAGGTGGTGGACATCGTGGTTATGATCAACCGGTTGCTACTGAAGAAACAACTGGTCCAAATGCTCAAGCATTATATCAAACACCAAATGAACGATATACTGCTGAACGATGTAATTTATATCAAAAAGAATTTATGAAATGTCTTGATCAAGCTAGTGGTGATTCATCACAATGTCAAGGTTTTTGGGAAGCATTAAAAGTATTTAAAAAAAAAGATCTTTTTATTAATAATTTTAAACTATTTGTTTTTTTCTTCTTCTTCTAAAGGAATGTCAACGTTTTCAGGGCGCCAACGGTATGTTATTGAATTTAATTAATTTTTCTATTAATTATTCATTTTCTTTTTCTTTTTCGTCTTTTCAGCAACACTCTAAACATCAACGAAATAGAATATGTTATGCAGCTGAAATTATCCTTCCCTTATATAATTATTCTATTTCCAGCGTTGCATTCGATTGTATTCCGGTCGAAATGATTTTGTAACTTTTTTTTCCTTTATTAGTCCAATAAAATTTTGAGAAAAACAAGCGAAATTTAAAATTTTAATCTTGAAATGATTCATTGTTCTTAAATAAAATAAAGGCAGTTTAATCCTTTGTAGACAGTGATACATATGTTGTATCACCTGATTTTTCAGTAGATAATAAAATGTTTTGTTTATATTAAAATGTTAAACATGCGAAGCTATAAAGGTCATTCGCTGCTTCATTTTATGAATATATTCTCTTTGTGTTGTTGTGAAATGACGTCATAATTCTTTCCTTGTCTTTCGAGCATATTTCAGAAGATTCGCATTTCTCTATTGTTGTTCTTCTTCTTATTGATGAAGTAATGTTATTCTCGATTTTTCTATACAATCAATTAGCTCACGAGTAGATGTGTAAGTTGATACATTGATCGACGAGTGAAATATTTCAATGTTTTTTTTTCAAATAATTTTCTTATTTTTTAGAAATTTCGAAATAGAAAAAAAAGGAAAAAAGGATGCAACAAAACATACAGAAAGGAAACTAGACAAGAACGTACATGAAAACTGATTTTTGATGTCGAGCATTTTCCAAGAATCTAATATCTCGTTTTTCATCTTGCGACGGCGGTAACTTCCTGTATTATCCTATATCTCTCTATCCGAAACTAATTACCACACTTAAATTGCATGATTTTCTTGTTGAAGTTTCTCTGCTCTGGCCTTGAGCTAATGAATTTTGAGAGGTACAAGTTAGATCAAAAATCGAATGTTTTACTTGCCAATTAACATTCTGTTTAAAAAGTGAGCAAAATTGTTTTATTTTTTTTTCTATTACCATAAGGTTTTTTTATGTAATTATTTTGAATCAAATGCAATAATTTGATTGAAGAGTCATGTCTCAATTGAAAAAGGAATTCATCCTCAAAGGGTTAAAAACGTTTCTTTTTATTTGTTTAATTCTCGGTCTTTTTCGATCATCTTCAGAAGATAAATACAGAAAACTAAACAAATAAAAGAAACTCGTTTAATCTACATATATGTCATTTACATATCAAAAAAAAAACAGCCATGTTGGTTTATTCATTGAAAATTAAAAAGCATAGATTAGTAGCTATTAAAACATGGTGAACTAGTTTTATTTTTAGGTTACAAATAGTCATGATCTAATGGTTAACATCTAGTATAGGTCAAACAATCCTATTATAAGATCTTGTACGATTTTATATACCTATCTTAAAGTAATCTTTTCTGATAAAATCATACAGTACGATTTATGTATGATTTTTCAAGGTTTCCCACAACGCGAAAAGGTTCATCGCAGTTCGAAATCTGCTGCCGCGATAATTTTCGAAAAGCTCTTTCGTCGCTGTTCTAAATTTACACAGTTAGATTGAATCTATCAGATGCACCATGGCCTTGATTGTTGAACTTGTAGAGACTTAAATCGAGTGCAGATTCATGCAATTTTACAATCTTCCCGAGAAAAAAACTGCCGCAACGATACCAGTACCGTCATGGACATCTCTGCCACAACGTTGCATATCTGATTTTCGGCTTCTACCATCTTGTTTTCTTAAAAAAGTCTTTTATTTATACTTGCATATATATATTTATGTATAAAAATTACAAAAACTAAATGAAAACAGAAATATGCGCTTAAAAAACGTGAAAAACTATTTTGATCGTTAAAATGAACTAAAATTAAAAACACAAATAATTTCAAGAGAAGAAAACCAACTCTCTGTTTAATCAAATTCATTAAATTATCTGTGAAGTGATTTTTTGGCAGATCAGCACTACTATATAGATGTATTTTCAATACTAGAAAATTTAGCATCTAAATTAGAACTTATTTCAATGTACAAAACTAATTGTATAGGAATGATCTAAAATTAAGATCTTACAAAATTCTGATCATCAGACTTTGCAAGAATCTTATAATAGGAATTATTTAAGATTCACAGTGGTATCTTATATACTCAGATAAATATTAAATCTTATAATAAGATATTTATAGGATTTCATAAGAGTATACAGTATGAATCTTACGATATCCGATTATCAGTACGATCTTATATGATCTTCGTAAGATTTTTCCACATAAAAGATTATGGTTATGATACTGAAATTTAATTTAATGTTTATATAAAATTTATATTTATATTTTGAAGACGTTCGAAAAGACTGAGAATTTTAAAAAAATAGAAAAAAAAGCCTCACTGAAGTTGCATCTATAGATTCATTCGTCATCTAGTTTCTAATTATAAATCCAAGCGCCAGATAGACTATCATTGATTGTTTTCTTCTATGGATGATTTAAATTATTGTCTATCTAAAATTGTTCATTTATGTATTGAATCATGTATATTTTTAAATCAATTATATAAATTTGAATGTCAACTTTCAAAATTATATTCATCATATCATAAACCATCAATAAAATATTTTTCTATTCTTAATCATTTTACTATTATAAATAAAGATTTAAATATTTATTATAAAAATTATTTTTTAAAAATTTATTCAAATATTTTTAATTATCTTTCATATAAAAATTTTATTATAAATAATTCAAATAATATAATTAATGATTTTCAAGAAGATTTAAATCATTTAAATTATTTTTTTAATCATCATAAAAAATATTATAAAGATATTTTTTATTATTTACATAAATTAACTATAATATGTTCATTATGTATACAATATCGTCATTCATGTACAAATTTAGAATTAATCAATCGATTTATTTATATACGTATTGATTTACTAACAAATTTAAAAAAATTAAATGAAAAAATTAAATTTTTATTAATTCAAATAAATTTAAATTTTGAACAAAAAAAACAATATTCAATTAATAATAACAATAATAATAATAATCATCATTATTATTATTCTAAAGAAAAATTTAAAATCTTTAATCTTTTTCGAACGATTTTTCTTTGGTTTATAACAATATTCTTAATTGGATATTATTTCAAATGGTCAATTATATATGAAAATAAACCTAAAAAAGGTTGGCCTATGTGATCTTTACCTTGATAATAGTGTCCTTGTGTGATGACGTGGCATAAAAGCCACGTAAGAAATATTGTCACAGCTGGTCATAGATCTTCATATTTGACTTGCAAATATGGACAGAAATCGACATATAAAAAGACACGTTAAAAAATCAAACAATATCACACACAATTTTCATCATGATGATCAAATATTTTATTATATTTATTGTTACCGTTTCTTTATGTTCATCAAAAGAAACCGTAAAGGATGTGCCTGATTCAAGTGTTCCAACACGTTATACAATAACTCATGAAGCTGTATTTGATATTGTTATTAAAGAAAATATTCATACAAATGACATTTTATCACAAGGACGAATTGTTATTGGACTTTTTGGTAATATTGTTCCAATGACGGTTTTAAATTTTGTTACAATTACAAATGGAATCGTTCGAGGCAACGTAAGACAAAAATGAATATTAACAAAAGATTTGTTTTATATGAATTTTTATTTTCCTAGATAAATTTTACATATGATGGTGTACCATTTCATCGTATTGTTAAAGATTTTTGTATTCAAACAGGTGATTTTATTAATCGTGATGGTACAGAAAGTGAGTATCAAGGTTTTAAAATATAGAAGAAATCGAAGGAGAAATTTGTATTTTTAGCTTCAAGTATTTATGGACCAAAATTTGTTGATGAAAATTTTCGTCTCAGTCATAAATCAGCTGGATGGGTATCAATGGCAAAGTAAGTGCAAGACAAAAAAAAATATCGAACGTTTTTAATTTTTATTAATATTTTAATTATGGTTTTTTCCCTCAAGTTTTGGAAAAGATACAAATGGTTCTCAATGGTTTATTACTTTAGTTCCGGCTCGTTGGCTTGATGGACATCATGTTGTATTTGGTCGTGTTCTTCAAGGTATTGATTTTATTCATGAAATGGGAGAAGTCGAAACATTTCCTGACACATCATTACCGAAAAAATATGTTGGTATTGTCCATGGTTCAGCTAAAGAAGTAACACGTTATGATCTTACTTTGGAACATCTTGTTTCTACTGAAGACATTATTGTTGCTTAGTTTTAATAATATGAGTTTTTTTTTTCAATTATCTAATAAATATAATAATCTGATTAGAATAAAGATTGATAAGACTTCTTAAAAGATTTGACGTTATTTTTCAACAATATGCTTTTAATTACCTTCTCAATTTAACCCTTTTGTTACCATAGTATAAAAAAAGCTACACCTGTTTTTAATTATTTTTTT